TATATTACAAGTATGATCATAAGTATGATTAAAATATCAATAAGGTCCATAAAAAGAAAAATTCAAATTTCTGGTTCTTCTGCATCCCCTGCAGTGTTGGATAGACAAATGTGCATGTTAAACTGAGTTAATATTGATTTTACAAACTGTACTACCAAATGTGAACATTCTCCCCTAAAATATTTGCATCTTAATTTTATCTCTACCACTCAAAGGACCTGGAATTGTATAAATATTTAAAGTGCTTAATTATTTTCTAGTAGATGTTTAGAACCCTTAATCTTCTAGAAGGGCTCTGGACCTAAAATTAGAAGGAAAATAGGTCTTTAATGAGAAAGAACACAGGCCTTGTCACTTAGCACTCCCAGCTGCAGTATCCTCTTGTAAAATAATGAAATTGAGCTAATTGAGGCCCCTCCTAGCTCTAAGTTTCTATGGAGCAAAATAAACAAAATACACTCTCATAAGAAAGATAAACCCCAAACCAGAAAATAACAGCTGTGATAGATCTGCTGATTTACACTTGATTTACACTGTCTCTCAGATGCCCCCTCTCCACTATAAAGCTGAGAAGTGTGGAGAAGCCACCGAGGGGACAAAGGACAATAAAGAAATATGTGGAGGTAAAGAAAGGAGAGAGCAATCTGCATGAGTAGATATGCAGTGAAGGGTGTAAACATCAGATTTGATTGATGAGACCCAAATTAGAGCATCTCTGCAGAGAAGAGGGAGGAGATGGTGGCACAAAGGGCTACTGTGAACCTGAAAGTTACCTCTGTCCTGTGTGAAGGGTGGGGAGGGGCTGTACAAGAGGCAAAGTGAGTAGCCGCCATTTACTGCCATGCAGTAGTTCTTGGGAGCCTCAGAAAGTCATATTGAAATCACACCAACAGGCACTGCTCAGCGAAGCAGTCGCTGGCTAGTACTCACTTGCATCTGCCCTTAAATGTACAGTCTGCCATAATTATTTCCTTTCAGTCTGACAACCGTTTATTGGGCATCCTCTTTTTATAATCCACAGTTCTAGGTTGTGGAGGATATAGAGACCAGCCTCCTTTAGGGAGCTCACAATCTACGGGGGCGGGGGTTTGCAAAGTGCTAGCTTTCTCCGAAGGGTGCGAATTGCACAAAAGAGGTATGGAATCAATGTGGAGGAGAGGAGAGCCCAGGGCCATCTTCACAAAGGGTCACCTTTGAACTGGGCTTGGGAGAAATGGG